CTTTCCTATACTGATTAAATCTTCAACAATTTTTATTCAAATGTTTTTATTTAAATGTTTCTTTATTAAATATTTATTATCTTTTTGCCTCTACAAATATTCTTATTAAAAAATATTGTTGTATTATAAAAATTAGTTTGTAAAAATGTATATATTAAATAGAAAAAAAACATGTCAACTAAATCTATATTGGATTATGTTAAACATAAATTTGTATTGTTAAAAAAGTGCAAATAAGAAATGTTTAAAATCAGTCTCTACGAGAAATGGTGTATAAACTGAATCGAAATAATGCTTCGTTTCTCCTTACTTTCAATGTTTCAGCAAAGAAGTAACTTTGTTGGACGTCGTCTTTCGCCGAGTCGACTAGATAAACATTGTTAAGTCCCGTGAATCCTCCGGGTACCCGGCAATGTTTTTCCAATGCTTGAACAGCCTCCCAACCCCATTCACGATATTTTGGATCCTTTGTTAACCGCCACATCACAAAGTATGATTCGAAAGTCTGTAGAAAAAGATATTTCGGTTTATCTAGTAAATTATATTGTTGCTTAGGAAATGAGGGAAAGAATAATTAATTTACTATACATTTTACATATAATTTTTCTTGTAAATTTACAAACAACTTTAATAATTAAGAAAAAAAATGATCTATACTTGATTTGTATAAATATGAAATATTTGACTCTATGTACACTACATTTTCTTATAGTTAGAAGTAGTTTCGAGCTATAAAGTAATTTTTTAATGTAAAAGATCTCTCTCTTTCTCTCTCTTTGATACAGTTGATACTAGTTCATTTGTAAATAAAAATGCGGAAGGTGATGAGCTTACCTCAGGTCGTAGAATATAATATTTTTCACCATTCTTTAAGCTTCTTGCCTCGTTGCCTTCGATAAAGTGAAAAGCTTCAGGACCGAGTTTTGTAGCGCTTCTGTCATACGATTCGTGACACGTATTGGTCAAACCGGCGGCGATGTTCATGTATTTTTCAGACAATTCGTTTTCCAGAGTTTTAGCTCCCAGAGCAAACATACCGCCTATAAAGCATCCCGCAATAATTTAGTTATTATAAACTATTCACATATTACTTTTTTTGTTGAATTTATCACTGTTTGAGGATTTAATATAAATAATGACATAGAGATAAAAAAATGAAGAAACTTCATGTTGTCATGATAAAGTTTCAATTATAAATTATACTTGCAATCGATATGAATTTGAATGATAGAATAATATATTTTATAATTAATAGAATTATAATTAATATATTTATATATTATTATAAATATAATTAATATATTTATATATTATTATATTTATAATTAATAGAATTATATTAATATATTAATATATTTATTTTACAATTAATAGAATTATAATTAATATATTTATAGATAGATTATTTGGAATATCATCGTTTCGAGCTTGACAATTGCATTGAGAAAGTAATAATTGCAGTAATATAAAAACTTACCGGCGAAGCAAGCCAAGTGACCCATTTTATGTTCAAGCCTATCATATTTTAAATCCGACACGTACACAAGTTTGCCAGGGGATGTTTTGATCATGTGCTCGGTTATGGCGGCTATAGCTTCATCGTACATTTTACGTGCCTCGACATCCTCCTTACCCGACTGGATCCAAGCTTTCAGTAGGTACTCATAGAAACTGTCGCCGAGCCCACCGAGCGACATATGATCTGCAATTCCATGAAAATATTTCTTATAAATAAATTTCTTGTGAATTCCAAAAAAGTTAATGACACATTTTTTTGGAAAATCGTTAAACCAAACTCGCTGTATCTTTTTTCTCATATACAAATTCTGTAATAAATTTAATTTTTGATTTGTTTCTTGAGAAAAATGTTAAGCTAATAGTTTCTGTAAGAACAACTTAAGTATAAAAATCTTTTCGTTTCTAAACTGATTTGAAAAAAAATTTGGATTTGGATTTGATTAAAGAATAAAAGAATAAAAGAAAAATATAGAGAATTCGGAATACGACATTATCTTATTATTATATTATCTATTATATGTTTCTTTTAGATTTTTTTTTAGAAAAAATATTGTCTTGTAATGTGTCTTTTAAAAATATTATTTAAAATATTTTCAAAATTAAGTAATAATTGGTGATTGATATAATATGTGTAATAATTTATAGCTAGATTGATAAAATAAATTATAATTTATTTATAATACTTATAGTAATTATAAATACTAAAACTCTAATGTGTATAGAGCTTACATCTTATTTTACATTTTGAAGTAATTTAGTTTAGTTTTCTTATACAAGAAGAATTAAAAGATTTAAAAACGAACATACATACTTCAGTATGCATTTTATTGAAGAAAGATTCAGAATATAAATAATAAGATATGCTTTTCATTCAAAAATTTCTAATGCACCAATTGCTCTTGTTTTCCATTTCTTTTATGTTAAAGCGAAATTAAAGACTTGCGGACTCGTTTTACTAGATAAAACGGTTGTTCGACTGCTTTAAAAGAGATACCACTGTAAAACGGATAGCAACGGTAATCGCTGCGAGATAAAGGAATGCTGGAAGAATCTTTTCTCGGAAAAGAGAGGTTTGTGCTCCACGCTACAGGGCTACTTCGATCACGTCTGGGGAAGGCGAAACAAAGAGCACTATTCTTGATTTCTGCTGGATTAATTCCTAGATGCCTTGGGCTAGCTAAAAGCACGGTTCCCATTTTATGTAAGATCTGTGATGAAAGGATATACGACTCGACTTTATCTCTCCGTCCACTATTTTTAGAGAATATTATAAGATTACCGCGAGGAAATATATAAAGATCAAACGAATCATATGCGATTAAGATTCTGTTAAATAAATATTAATTAAACGATTTAAAGATGACAAATTATATTTCAAACATTAATTTTTAATCAAAGAGACAGTTACATGTTCTTGTAGAAAAAAAATCAATAATATATTTTATTATTAGAGAGAAGTTCAGAGAAAAGTTGGAACGAACAAGGTTGATGACGTTTTTAATGAGAGAGATATAAAGATTCATTAAATAAATTGTCAATATGACAATAAATTTTAGTAAAGTTATGTTAAAAAATTTATTGTACTCTTACTCATTTATTAAATTAATAATAAAGTTAGTTAAATTAATTAAATTTATTAAATTAATTAAATTAGTAAAATACTCATTGAATTAATTATATGAAATGTATTTACAAATTGTTGGATCATTCATTTAAATATGTTTTGTTCAAATACCAGTATTGTTTTTTATTCGGATAATACTTTTTTTCTTAGCGTGCTTATAGTACGTATGGTGTCCACCGGAGCAAAACTATGAAAAATGTGAAAAGGATGTGCGATTAAGTTAGATACCGAACGGCTTGGATGATATATATCCCTGAAGATCTCGTCATACGTGCAATGAGAAGATACGCAGGCGTAGGGGATTTAGGATTCGAGGCAGCGGATGATAAATGCGATATTCAAGATCGACTATGGCGACGACGGCGTCGACGCCGACGCCGCGGCGGAACATCTTTTCGCGAGCCGACATGAGCCGGCGCTATGCGATGGACGAAAAAAAAAAAAAAAAAAACGGAAGCGATCGAAGTTGCGCGGATTTTCCATCTCGCGGCTGTGCGAAAACTATTTTTACGATGTAATTGATAGCCGTCAGATTAAAAATTTATTTCGCTCAAGATGCGTGCCCGAAGATTTATTAAATGTGAAATTACGGTAATAAGTCATCGGATACATTTATACCTATCCACCGTTGTCCTGTTAAAGACGATCGGCGATTTTTTTCTTGGAAATCTTTGATCTCAAAAATTCAAACGCAAAAGTGGAAAGAACATTGTTGACATAAACTTATATTTATTATTATATTATACTATATTTATATTTATTATGAAAATTATAATACAATTAATTCTGTGATACGAAAACGAATTTACAGTAATATAGACAGAATATATTATACAATAATGCAATAATATATTATACATTTTTTCATCGAATAATTCGTAAATAATTTTCGAAGGAAATTACGTTTGCACGTTCGAATATATTCATATGTTTGCGAATACGAATCAAAATATAGCAGATTAATATAACATAGATTTAGACTAAGATTGTACTTACGTTGACCCCATTTTCCTGTTCTTGGATGGATATAATTCGGATATAGACCTTTCGGTTTGTCTAGACTCTTCAGAACCTTCCTTACGTTTTCGACTTTGCTCTTGAATACCGGATTATTCGTTATATCGCTCAAGTAGGTAAACTCAAGATGCATCGTTCCGATTTCGGATAAAATACTACAACCGCTACTCGCCCAACCGTAATTCTTGCTAGCCTGAAAAATAAGCGTAACTTTTTAACCAGAATACCACGAGATATAAAATGTTTAATGTAATAAAGTTATTCTTTAGAAATAACTCGTTATCGTTACTCAAAAAGGAATAATTAATTATTTTTTCCGTTATTTTTTTAATACTAAAACGAGATCAGATTAAATAAAAAATAAATTTTTCTCATACTTTTTTGTTAAACTATATAGTATAAAAATAATAAAATCTTTTATCTTAAATTCGTAAGATTAAAAAATTTAAGAAGATTTTAAAATATTCAGAATATAAATACAAAAGAGATAATTTTTATTAAATTCATAAACACAGCAAATTTACACTTTTTTTTATTCTCAATTCTCTATTTATAAATTTTTAAAAGGTAGTATTTATAAAATCTGTTCTTATGACTGCTTTATAATAAACTATTCTTAAAACTTATTCTTAAAACTTATTCTTAAAACTATTCTTAAGATGACTTTTAAATGTAACAACATGAATATTGATTGAAGATTGAACATTGAATCTATAAGAATTGCATCATAAATAGATTCAAAATCTAAAAAGTAACGATGAAAGTAACTGTTAAATTCGTTACCATTATTAAAAAATGTAACTACGTTATCATTACAATTACTAAAAAAAAAGTAAATGTCGTTATCACTCCATTACTAAAAAAAAGACTGTAACGGCATTACAAATAACGCGTTATTTCCCAACTCTGTAAAGAGATAGATCAAATATATTATTTTTTAGAAAATTATGATATTTAGGAAATAATAGAACAATATAATAAATTTTAACATAAATTATAATATAAAAAACAAAAATAAGGCGAAAATAATCGATTATGTTTTTAATAAATTTGTTTTTAATTATTTTAAATATATCATGAATTTATGTAAGTTTAATATATGAAAGAAATCTAAAATGTAAAATAATTTATATTTTACAAGAAAATTTGTCGATCTATTTTTTTAGAATTTATTTTTAGAAAAGTAAATAGATCGTAATATAAATATAGTATACGGGAGCAGGCAAAATATGAAAATTCTTTATGAAAAGGATGAGACTATTAAAAATAACATGAAAATTTTGTAGAATGATATTTGATAGGATTTTAAATAATCAAAAGCCATTGTTGAAGCGTCGACAACCCAAAGAAACGAATAGACAATCTGCTTATCGAATATCACTTGAGACTATAAGAAGGATTTTGGTAGATGAAGTTCGGGTAGGTGAAACATAATCGCTTTATAATTTAATCCAGCCAATTAACTTGCCCACTATAATCTCATTGCTAAAATAGAGTGCACGTGACGTAACGTTTGCATGTCTTCTGCTAAAAGAAAAAAGAGAATGGAAATTTCTCTTATTACCGAATATCATGGTAAATCGTAATTTAACAAATCGCAGATTTCTTTTACTAATTTTTCTTGCTTAATAATAATTATTATATATTTATTGAATTGATATATAATTGCAAAAGTAGTGAAAAAAATACAATTGCATATTATTTTTTTCACATATAAAAAAATGGATAGGAAAAAATGAGTTTGTGTGTGGTTAGAGAATGGTTAGAGAAGATAATGGATATAAAATTTTTCGAGTCGATACATATTTTTTATTATTCCTTCCTTTTGCACTGTTTCAAATTAATGGCAAATTATGACATACGAAGAGAAACATGAAGAGAAACACTCGATCATTAGTCGTGTCCGTTGAAAACGCTAATACGAATTATGAAGTCATCAAACGGATAGGGTCAATAGACATATAGATTGCTCGGATTAAATCTGAGTCTTTTTCATTTCTCATTTTCTCTCGACACGCGTGCGCGCGAATTAATTTCTTCAACAAGACTGCATATCAGGTTCAATTGATATTATCGCCAATGCTACGCCTTCAATTTATGTACAATTACAATTATGTACAATTATGTAGAATTACAGTTATGTACAATTATCTAACTATAATGAAATAATTTATAAAAAAATCTTAATTACAATTTTTTCCTATTATTTATGATATATATGTAGAAAAAATTTTTTAAGCTTATTTATTATATATATATAAATAATACATCACAAATATATGATATATATCACATATTTAATTATTTTAATATAATTTTAAAATTTATAGGACAGTGAAATGATTATAGTTTGATACAATTATAATCATAAAATGAATATTGTAAATGTAATGAAAAGTTTATCTATAAAATATATTATATCATGTTTGTAAATTTTTATTATTATCAACTTGAAAAAAACATATTTATTTTTTTAGAAGTTGTCTCACGCATTATATTAGATAACTGATAAATATTGTTGATCGTTGATACATTGTATCGCAATAACTAAAAATTAATATTTCTTTCGTATTTTGTATTTTTGTTAAGGCTTTTGAATAAGGCTGTAAACGATCTATGTTTATATAACACTTTTTTCTTATTTACATCCATAGAATGTACCGATAAAGTTTGGCTATTAAAACCTGAAACATCCTGTATATTAATAAAATTGATTTCAATTTAAATTACTGATGAAAGTATAAGTCTGTATCTTTTTTATTGAAATTATTCGATCATTCTTTTATAGAAAATCCATCTCTTCATTTAATTTGTAGATAATCGATTAATATTGTTTAATTATTAAATGATCGATATGATTGGATTTGAAAAAGAGGAATAACATATACGAACGGATATATCGTTCATCGTAAGGGAAGTCAAAGACCGTATCCGCCTCTTGCAGCCTCATTATCTATCCAATTAAGAATTTGCATATTAATCGCGCGCCGTTATTTCGACAGACGTGACTTGATGAAATCGTTTCAATTAAACAACATCATTGCTTGGCAACATGATGCTTGATAAAAAATACGCAAGAACAAAAATACCACGCCCTGGAATAGCTTTTTTAAATTATAGTTATGCGAGCAAGAGTAGTGTGTAATTGTACTTTACACTTGTTATCGCATGTTTTATTTGTTAGTAGATCAACGTTTATTGATTGAGAATAGTAAGAAGATTTACGAAAACGTGCACACAAATCAGTCATTAATGTTATTATATTTTCTTAATTATTTAAAAAATTATTTATATCTAGATTTATTAAGCAATAGAATAATAGAAAAAGAAAGAAAAACTATAATAAGATTTAATAATAATAAAATATTTCAATTTTATTTACTTGTTGTAAGTAACGAGCGATGCATCAGAAACATATTTAATTTAAAATAATGTCGAAAATTATAAAGAAACTGAGGTTTCAAAAAAGTTCAAATTGATGTATTTTTAACAATTTAAATATACAATGACCTGTAGATTTGTGATATTTTAATGTATACTAAGATAATCATTGTTTATATAATTTTTGAAAATCTTTCTTTATTGAAAGTTTAATAATCATCTTTTGTCGCAACTTTCAATCTTTAACTTTCAACTTTCAACATTGAACATCTTAGTAATAGCAAAGGAGATTATCTCAGGAAGTTTTTCTTTCGATTTAATCCTTACTTGACTCTAGTTTCATTAAAATACATGTTAGACTCAAAAACATGATATTGGTCTCATCTTGTGTAAATTTGCGATATTATCCGCGTGATTTATTATTTTATTCTTCTTTCTTTATTGTAATAAATGAGTAATTTCTTCTTTCTTTGAAAAGAGAAATGGAGTTAATGTAATATCAAAGTACATCGAACCCATCTCGACGCGTTGATGCGAATACTGGCGAATTATGGCAACGAAAAGCCGCACTTACCCCGGTATGGAGGTTGATGAGGGAATGAGGAATTCCGGTTTCCGTCTGGAAGGCAGGCAGCATCCGTTCACCGAGCTGTGCCGCCTTATCCCGGAACATCACGTCTCCCGTGAGAGCGTAACAGGCGAGCAGGCTTCCCATGAAACGAATATTCGTCTCAAACAGCGATATTTCAGAGTTCTGAAACAAAACGAGCGATGTGTTCAAATTAATAATATGCTTCATTTATTCGTGAATGAAAAAAATTTTCATAATATATAATATGGCGTGTCATACATACACATGCTTATACACATTCATCAACATGTAATCCTCTCATGTAATCGATTATTATCGAGCGAACATACGTTCATTAATTGACTGTTATTTTTAAATTTATTCTTTTTTTAAATTTATAATTATAAGTAAAATTTCGTAAATATTCTTTGTATCAGATATTTCTAATTATTTTTTATTTGGGATAATTATTAATTAGTTATTAAACAATTAATTTCTTTCAAATAAAATTTTTTAATAAAATTTACGAATAGGATATTAAAAAGGAACAAATTAACAATACAGCGCTAAATCATCGCATTAACAAGGCGGCGCGATAACTTAATCTTGAAAAATTATAAAAAATACGTGACAAAAATGCAGTAATCGCAGTAATGCAGTAATATCATATAATATATGATATACCAAATAAATATAATTATTTGATAAAATTCAACAAAATATAATGTTTTGAACAGAGGGAAATGGAGGGAAAGGAAAATATTTGTGTAGTATTTTTAAGAAGAAAATTACAGATTGATGATTTTTAATATTTATAAATTCATACATTAATAGCTTTCAATTAATCTTATTATTTTAATAAATTAAGTGTTACGATAAATATAATAATATTTGCCTATAAAATAATAACGATATATCTTAATATATCATTATATACTCATTGACAGATAACTTTGTTAAATTATTATTGATATAACGATACATATACGGTAGAAATGTGACACGATGCGGAAACTGGTATTAGCAATCGCAAAATGGAAAAAAGCGATCGCTAGCGATTTTGCATTGTGCATCATAAAAAGTGTAAAAAGTGTAAACAGTTTTTTTTATATCTGTACGTCACTCACATTTTACAGTTTTTCGAAAATTGCATAGCAAGATTATTCTTTAGTCAAGATTATTCTTGTTATCATTACAAATGTAACATATCTCGAACTTTTTTTTGAACAAATATCAATGCGTCAAGATACGATAATCGCATTTACATAATCGCGATTTTATATATAAATGTCAAAGCCATTGTATAATTCGTATTATAATCATATTCATTTTTGTATTTATTCATTTTTGTGATATGTTAGAACGATGAGAACAATTGTCCATTTGGTAATTAAAATAATCCTAATTTTTTCTTTTTCTTGCAGAAGTTGAAATGTTCTTAACTTACAATTCCGAAATAAGTAACAATCTGGAAATTAATTTACTCATATAAGATTACATCTTTGTTATGTATATGTAGATAAATAGTATTACAAAATTTCAAACATAGCTATTATAGTTATATAAAAATATATATGCATGAATTTTCGATAAATAATATTAAAAATGCTTTTAAAGTTGCTTCTAATAACACGCATTTCGTATGTATAAAATGTAGTAAATTATAAAAAATAAATACACATTGCGCAGATTGCAAAATTTAAACATGTATATTGTGAGCGCAATAGATAATATAAAAAAAATATATGTAGAAATAGAACTTACATTTGAGAATAATTTTTGTAATGTATGAAATACATTCCTTTTTTCAAAATGCGTGAACTACTATTAGATAGTTTACATCTATAGATTCAACAAATGCAAATATCATAGTTATAGAAAACTTTTTTTTTACTAGAACAAAGACATATATGTTCTATATGAATATTTAATAAGCACTATAATAACTCAGAGATAGATCTTAAAGATGAAATATGGTCAACTGGTGTGAAAGTCAAAGCTTTCATCGTTATCTAAAAATAAATATTCATATAATTCGTAGACTCCTCACTAATTAGTCGGATGAAACGGTCGACATTTCTATCTCTAGATTGAGCTTCATATTCTAATTAGTAAAGAAATGGTATAAAAATCAAATGAAAATATGATTATAGAATTAGCTTCTTTCTAGAAATTGAATTTAAAGATATAATGAATCTTGCATCTAAAATTGTTTGAAATATAAAAATATATACAGCGAGAACTGACGCGTAAGAACCATTTGAAAACAAAATATTATTCACATTACGTACTCGAAAGCTTATGTTTAAAATCATTGATAATATATTGTTCTAAATTTGAAATAGCATTACATCAGTAAAATAATATTTGTTAAACTTTCGGTAGTTACTCTATAATTAGGAGAATCTGAAAATGCTCTGACGCAGAGAGAAGAGATAATGACGTGTGATATATGAAAGCAGGTAAATTGGCGTTGTTCTCACGTTTACGAGGTATTGTAATGCTAATTGACATTTATGATGCACGTGTGATAGGAAGTACCGTGGGAAGTTCGTAAACGATTTTCGCGTCGATTACACTGCAAATCTAAATATTTCTTATTAACTGCAAATTATACTTTAGATAGACTTTCTATCAAATTTGCAATTTGGTTATTACATCACATATAATTAAACAATTTATATATATATATATATATTTGTTGTGTGTGTGTGTGTGTATATATATATATATGTATATATATGTATTTGTTGCTAATTTTATAGAATAAGACAA